CATTAGCGGCGAGTCTGGGGGGACGGGATTAGTGGCTGAACTTTCTATTCCTGGAGACCCTCTTTTCTCAGGAGGTCAAAGCAATTTCCATATATTATCCTGATGGCAGATTGGGAAGGTCAGGGAAATGGCAAACACATGCCACAGATTCTCAGATGGAGAAATCAAGGCAGGAAGGGCAGTCGCTGCTGAGACCACCCAGCTCTGCCTCTTTACCCTATGAAGAACTTGGCAACCATCTGGGCCTAGCCCCATCAGGTCAGGCCACGCTGTCTCCTGGTGGGTAACAACGCATTCCTTGGAGGGATTGTTAGAGACACCTACCTGGACCCTCTACCCTAGGCTGTGCGTATCAGGAGGAAGGCCAAGGTAAGACCCCAAGTCCCTGACAAGTATGTTGCAACCCATTAAGGGACCTACTTTGCTTCCAATCTCTGCCTTACACGCCCCTGGGGGAGGCTGTCGGGGACCTGTCACCTCCTCCAATATGTCTGCCTAATGCAGATGGAGAAATCATCCTCTAAGTCACTGGAAAGGAAGATGGAGTTTGGAGGTCCTGCCCCAACCTGTCTCCACTGTACCTGCTGAGGGCAGGGATACAGAGAATCCTCTGAAACTGATCAGAACGGGAGTTGAGGAGCCTCAGAGGGGGTTTGGGAAGAGTGAGAGTGGTGATTCTCAAAGTGGGGTACCCTGGCCATCTGAAGTCACAGTGGTGATTCTCAAAGTGGGATATCCTGGCCATCTGAAGTCACAGTGGTGATTCTCAAAGTGGGGTACCCTGGCCATCTGAAGTCACAGTGGTGATTCTCAAAGTGGGGTACCCTGGCCATCTGAAGTCACAGTGGTGATTCTCAAAGTGGGGTACCTTGGCCATCTGAAGTCACAGTGGCATTCAAAGTGGGGTACCCTGGCCATCTGAAGTCACAGTGGCAGCGTGTGGAGCATGAGAGAGATGCCTACTCTCCAGCCTGACTTACCTCTGCTCTATCAGATTCATATGGCAAGGGATCGTACGGCAAGGGCTTGGTAAGTATTGGCACGGCTTACAGGGGAATCTACTGCTCTGTATACGGGATCCACAAGGAACTCTCCAGTCTACACTGCTAAATAGCCACCTTTTCTTTAATTTTTTTATTTTTTAAAAATATGGTGTTTGTGTGGGTTCGTGGACATATGCATGTAAATGCCCACAGAGGCCAGAAGAGGACATGGGATCTTCACACCAGCCCCCCACCCCCCGCCGTGATTCGCAACCCTTTAACAGTTCCTTATGCTGCACGGACCCCCAACCGTGAAACCATTTTGTTGCTACTTCAGAGCTGTAATGTTGCTACTGTTAGGAACTGTAATGTAAATATCTGATATGTGGATTTGCAGGATATCTCGCCTCACAGGTTGAGAACCTCTGCTCTAGAGCTACAGTTACAGACTGTTGTGAGCTGTTTTACATGGGATCGTAGGAGCCAAACTCTGTTCCTCTACGAGAGCAACAAATGCTCTTCACCACCAAGCCATCTCTCCAGCCCCAACCCCTCTGTGTCTCCTGCCATCTGACTTCCGGCTGTGTCACAGCTAAAGGCCCTTGAAAGCCCTGCGCCCTCCATGCCTGTTGGGTCTTATCCCCCATGGAACAAGAACCTGCCACGCCCTTTGCTAGTCATGGCCCACCAAAACATGACCCTCATTGCCAGAGTATCCTTGTTCTCTGTGTCTGTGAAAACCCAAGTGTGTGTGTGTGTGTGTGTGTGTGTGTGTGTGTCGTCCCTAGTGGCTACTGCCTTAGGGCCCACGTGTCCCCACCTTTAAGAACAAGGTCTCACAGGACTTACTCAAGTCCCTCCTCACCCAGTTCCCTAACTGAAGCTGCACTGAGAAACCAGAAGGGGGCGCCAGGTCTCATTATAGATGGTTGTGAGCCACCATGTGGTTGCTAGGAATTGAACTCAGGACCTCTGGAAGAGCAGACAGTGCTCTTAACCATTGAGCCATCTCTCCAGCCCTGGTCAAAACATCTTGCTTCCTGGAAGGTGCCAGGACTTCAGTAGGTTTCAGGAAGCCACGCCTCCCCCAACACTCCCCAGGGGTCCTCGCCCACTTTGACAGACTCAGAACTGAGGCCCAGAGAGGTTCTGGGTTTTGCCTGTGATCTCACCACCAGTACCTGACTGGGCTCTTCCCAACTTTGAGGTCTGAATTTTAGCTCCAGGGAACTGTGGCATTGAAAGGGGCAGCAAATCAGACGGACCCAAAGCTCTGCTACTCACCAGTGGCTTGCCCAGCCTGGCCTCCGTTGTCCGTATATGCAGTGGGAATTCAGCCCTACCCTATTGGTCTCCCTGGACACCTCTAAGACTCAAGATCAGGAGCGGATGTAAGGGAAACCAAGGAGTGTGCCCTGACCCAGTGTGCCCCATGCTCCTTGGTATACCATGTGCCCAGGTTTCTCATTCTTTCCTAATTTAAGCTGTCCTTCACACGCGGTGCAAACTGTGAGGCAGCCCTGTTTTGATGCCTCACCCAAGGCACAACCGGCCTTGAGCAAAATGCACCTCTCTCCACGAACGCAAGAGGGAGCCATGGCCCCGCAGCGAGCCGCCGGGGCCGACCTGCCTTCTGGCCATTACCCTCGAGCTCTGAGAGCAGCGCCCCTGAACGTAGTTTCCAGGCTACGCCAACCTCAGAGGCATGCCTGGAAACCTGGCGAATCCTGGAGGAGTGGCAGAGATAGGCAAAATCTGGGCTGGAAATACGAAGTCCAAACAACTCGCTGCTTCTCCCCGTTGTGAGATTTTTCCGGTGAGATGTTTGACCTCTCTGACCTTCATGTGCAACTGAGGCAATGAAATCTCTCCCTTGACTCCGGGTCGGTCAAAATAGCTGCCAAAGGCTCCCCAGTCCACAAACGGAGATCTCAGCCCAGGCTTGCCATATAAACTGTAAAAAGTGAGGATTTAGCAGGAAGCCCTTTCTGACCCTACCCCCTTAAACTCTATCTGAAGCCCCTTGCCTATCCATTTTATGGGCATGCAAACTAAGTTTCGGAAAGTTGCTTTTTCAGAAGTCAAGTGGCTCATACACCTGCAGTTGGTCTGGTCTCAGGATTCCAACTGTGCCTTCCTGGTCCTGCGGCCTCAGCTTGGGTGGTGCTCAAGAGGCCACAGAAAGGCCGGAATGCGCAGTCAAACACCACTGGACCTGCTCCAGGAGCAAGCACAGGTATTCGGATCTAGGGTTTACCTCTAGTCTCTTGCCCCTAGACTACAAGCCGACAGCAACCCCAATATCCTGGGCCACCCTGCATATCTGTGATTCGGAGGGCACGGGCCCTCTGAGTCCTGTGGGGTCTCTGGCGCCCTCCACTAGTCCTTGCTCTGTAGTTGGGCCGCTGTGGTGGGATGGCCAGGGTCAGGGTGGCCCCAGCCCGCGCCCTGGACTAAGGTTGTTTGCACACATGTAATTAGCACTAATTACCCAGGGTTTTCAAAGCTTGCCGACTCCAGGCGTGAGAGCCAGGCAGCCCGGAGCCGCTGCCCTGCGGGGTCAGCCCTCTCCACCCGGCTACAGCCGGCCTTGATCCCAACGCCCAGGACTTCACGTCGCCAGGCTGTGTGTGCCCCCACAGACTACGCGGCCACCACGTGCTGGCCAGCGAGTGTCTTTGTGTGTCTGCTGCGGTGCGTATGGAGAGGCCACTGAGGCAGGTTTGGGAAGCCGAGCTGATGGGCAGAAGGAGAGGGTGAGGTCGACACGGTGCTTTGCTGCGAAAGACAGCGCCAGCACCCTGCTCCCACAGCCACCGTGGGTCATGCAGGACCCTGGGGCTGTAGCTGCAGCTGCACAGAGCTGGTCTGTCCCTCAGGAAGCGGCCACCAGTGCTTCTCTTTTACAGGTGGCATAGCCCCAGAGCCCAGAGTTTAAGCAAAGGTGCCACTCAACAGCCAAGGCGGAGGTTTCAGGCTCTGCTCAAATTCATAGGATCCGTCTGCGTGGCAGGGTGGGGGGTGGGGGCGGTGGGGGGAGAGCTCAAGGAGGGAGGGCTTTGGCCTCACTGCAGCCTGGGCCTTTGCTCTTAAATCTCGAATCCCTAAATAATCCGAGATTTGGCACTTCCCTCCAGTCCTATGGGACCCAGGCATGTTCAACCCCTAGGACTGCGACTTCTAAATGAACCCGAGAAAAGACACAGCAATCTCAAAGACCTTAGTCGAGGTGGGGGTGTTGCTGCAGTCCCCTTCTTCCACCCGCCCTGGGGTCTTGAGTCCATCCTGCTGCTGCTGGGGCATTCCTGGGTTCCAGTGTTTTTCTGTCTTAGCTGCTGGGTATCCCTCTGCCTCTGTTGCTGTTTCACTCTGACCCTGGTGACCTGTTTTCAACTGTCTCACTGAGCCTTTGTCTATAGCTGACCCTCTCTCATCAGATCTCTGCCATGCAGCAAACACCAGCCACCGCCAACCACCCCAACACACACACACACACACACACACACACACACACCACCGCCCTGCTAGGAACACACACACAGGCAGAACCTGCCTTTTCAATAAAAAAAAAAAAAAAGACAACTGGGAAACAGAGTGAATTAAAAAGCATTAACTTAAAAACAATCCATGTGTCTGCAAATGCATTCCAAATGGCAGCCCTTGGGGGGGCTGGGAGGGCAGCATGTTAGACACACTTCTGGAGTACCAGATACGTAGGGGTGAAGGGGACCCAGAGCCTCACAGTATACCCCACACCCTAACCTCCTGGGTAGCAGGGGTCTCAAGAGAGGGGACTTCTCTGTGCTCATTATCCCAAACCCTCAACAGGTTGCTTGGACCCTCCTGGAGTTACATTTTAGCATCTGCTAATCTTTCTTCCCACTGACCTCAGCTCTCTCCGGAGGCATCAGCCCTCCCAGGACCCAGATCCAACACACGCGCGCGCGCGCACACACACACGCACACACACACACACACACACACACACACACACGTGAGGCCTGGCTTGGCCTGCCTTGCCCTGCTCCACCTCCCCATGCTGCCCTCCTGCCCCCTAGACCACCCAGCATCCCTAGCTCAGAAGGAAAAGGTAGTTAGAGCCAAAGCTTGTCTTGGCCTAGAGAGCCTCTCCCAGGGAGCAGCGGTCAGAAAGGGGCTGCGGGTCCCCCACCTGCAGCTCTTGTCAAGCCTGTTCAAGCTGTTTGGAAGTCTGCTTCTCAAAGGTGGCAACTCTCCTGACCTTCCAAGTCTCTTGGGGAGAGAGGACTTCTCCAAAGTCCAACCCAACAACCTTCTCTCTGTGGGTAGGAGAGGGAATTGGAATACATCAATTAGGTACGAGTGTGTGTGTGTGTGTGTGTGTGTGTGTGTGTGTGTGTGTGTGTCTTGATTTGTGGCTCAGGGGATGAACCCAGGTCCCCCTTCTTTATAGGAAGCAGTCTGCCCCTCACTACTGCCAGCCCTCATCACCCAGGTCTTAATCAGCGAGAATAGAACTGGATGAGGGTGGGAGGGTGTCCCTGATTTCTACCCTCTCCCTCAGTGTCTTCTCAATTGGAAAGGGAAATCCAAATCTATAAACCATTCGGACAGGAAGGAATTCTGGATTCCTAACCTTGTTCAGCTGTTGCCGACGACTTCCAACTCCGACCCTGACCATGACACTATCTGTGGCTCAGTGCTTTCTGTAGGCTCTGCAAACAGTGCCACAGGAATGGCAGGTACCTGGATGGCTCTGAGCTGCAGCTCGCACTACCTTGAGCTTCAGTTTCTCCGTCTAGAGCAGGAAGCGATGGGACCTTCTCAGCTCAGGCAGAAACAGGCAGCTGAAGTAAAATCTGCTGGACAAGTGTCTGCTGGTACTGCTCCTACTGCTGAAAACCAGTAAGGAACGCAGCAACGATGGCGTTTGCTCCTGAAACAACACAACAAAAAATCATCACTTAAAGAATCACAGCCGTCCTCGCCAAATTACTGCATTCACCCTCTAAGTAATAAAAGATGAGTCACTTTATTTTCAATGACAAAAGTGTTCTGTGTTCACTAGGCAGGGGAGCCCTTTCAGAATTCGCTGGCTCCCACTCCCACGCCAGGCCCCAGAGGAGCCCGGTAAGGTCTGTACACAAAGCCCGCACTGCTTGTGCCGTGAGAATTCTGATTCCTATACAGCGTGTGCACGTGTGTCAGCATCTGATGACACCCTGGTGTATCATTCTCCGTGCTCTCGCGCTGATGCTGATGGGAGTTCTGACTGAGAATCACTAATGCGGGCTTTGGAGAATTTTTGTTTCAATAGACATATTTATTCAAGCAGCTTCTGCCCCTGTGTGTGTGTGTGTGAGTTCCTGGGAGCTTGTAGAGATGTGTGTACTGCATGCATAAGTGTAAGACTATGAAGGTATGCTTGCTTGTGCAGGCAGCCATGTGCTTCTTTGGGTGTGTAATACAACTGCAAGTATGTTTCAGTGTATTTATTTGTGGGTGTGCTGTGTGGAGCACGGAAGACACCTCCCCTCCCCTCGTGCGTGTGTGTGTGTGCATGTGTATGTGTTCGCTATATTTCCAGGAACATTTCTGTCACTATGCCTTTGTGTCATGTTCGTATGTAGAAGGGGTGATGTAGAAGTGCCTGTATGTAGACATTTCGCATGGGTTGTAATGCTAGTCCCACCATTTTCTGCAAGGATTTCTGTGGTGGGAGCCAAGTTCAAGTCACTGAGCCCTGGAGTGGTAGCTAAGACCCCTAGGGCTCCATTGTCCATGGATCCCTTCTCTTCCTGGAGGAGAAAAATGGCAGATTTTGATCTTAAACCCAGACCTCTGTGCTGAACATTCTAATCCTGAGACTATGAGAGAGAGAGAGAGAGAGAGAGAGAGAGAGAGAGAGAGAGAACCAGCAGCTGTCTGTTAATTGCTCCTCTGGAATAGGTGTTGCATGTTTGATTGTTTCTGAGAGACCCTTGATCATCTGGATGTCTCTCCTTTCCCTGTGGCCCTCTCCCAGGGGTCTGGGCCTCTGCCTGTTCAGAACGGTAGTGCGGTATTCACAGGCCAGAGCACTCACACATGAACTTTTCAAACAGACCAATTGCTAAGCAAATGTCACTTAACCTAGAGCTTGGAAGGAATCGGTGAGACAAAGGACCCATTGGAATAGATGAGGATGGGGCCAGGCCGGATGGAGATGAGCTAATAAGGCTCCCATAGCACCAAAGACAGGCTGCAGGTCCCCATCCCAGGAAAACTGCCCCCAAAGCCAGGAACCCTTCCACAGCCGAGAGAAAATCCTTGGATGCCCGCAACTAAGAGCCTACTGTGGTCCAAGTCATTCTCTTCTCATGTTTGTATGTAATCTGTATGCAAGGGAACTCTGTTCCTATGACTGACTTTGAACCTGTGACTTTAACCTTTGCTACAATCTCATGTATACATAGACTTGCAAGCAGAAACAGATGTAAATGTCTATTAACCTCCATGCATCACCGATCTGTTTTAAAGCATGTAATACATCAGTGCACACTAATCAACACCAGCACAACACGCAGGTTCATAAACGCTGTATAGCTGTTACATGCAGATGCTGTTATGGACTGAATGTCTTCCCTAGACACACCCATGTGATAGTATTGGAGGGACTGGCATCAGAAAGTAATTAGATGAACTCTTGATCCTCTGCGATGGGATTACTGGCCTCATAAAGAGAGGAAAGAGCCAGAAAGACAGCTTAGCAGATAAAGGCACTTACCATCATCCCTGAACCTGAGTTCAATCTCCTGAATCCACATGACAGAGGGAGAGAACCAACTCCCAAAAGTTGTTCTCTGAACTCTACATATGTATTGTGACGTATGTGCTCTCCTCAAAGAAGATAATAAACGTACTAAACATTTTAAGAAAGGAGAGTAAGAAAGAACAGCACCCAAACTCTCTCTGCCATGTACAGAGACAGTAAGAAAGCCAGGCAGAGTCCCTCCTGAGAAATCAAATCTAGAGGCGTGCTGTGAGATGGTCCAGCCCCCAGCACTATGTAAAACAAGTAACTATAAATGTTATAACATCCTGGGAAGACTAGCAGGTATAATCTATGAATTTGTACATGTTTACTCTCATGTAAATAAAAATCCCTGACATTGTTCTAGAGAAATCCCGCGAGATTAGTCGGGACACTTTTCACTATGGCCACCACATAGCCAATGCTTTGGTTTCCACACCTACCTACTGCACTCTCAAGATCACCACATGAGAGGGCACTTAATAGCTCTGTTTTATCAAAAAGGACAATAAGACCTAAGTACACACTCAGGGTTTGCTAGAACAATTGCTGAGTGGTACAACTCGGTACCCTGGGATCTGAACTTGGGTTTTCAGACACCAACATATAGGAATACATGATCTAGCATTTAGAGCTGAGCGAGAGAAACTTCACCAGAGTCTAGAGCGAGCAGTTCTGACAGAGCCCACAAGGCCCAAACTGCCATTGCCCAGGGCCACCTGCCTTGTTCAGTTCAGCACCTTCTAACTGTGTCCCTGAAGTGGGAACAGCTGACTGCTGGACTGGGCAGGGTTTCCCCAAAGTGCAGATTCATGGGCCACCCTGAAACAGCTCAAGAGCTGCCTTTAGAGTTTAATTTAAAATAATGGCCACCAGAGGAGGAGGAATATAAACTGAGTTTAATATTCTGTCCAGTTTAAGTGACAGACTTAGCTCACTGCCACAATTTGCAGAGAGTGCTGCTATACTGTTCTCAGCGCTAAGTGACTTCCGTGGGGCTGCTGCTGAGCGTGTTCAGCTCATCTTGAGATCACAGGGTATTGCATTTGCTTCAGCCTCACCTGTGGTCTAACAGGTGCCTGGGTGTTCTGGTTCCTCAAGTTCTGCCTACCCTTAATGCCCACATCCAGTACCCTAGAAGCCCGCACCTTACCCCCACCCAGAGGGGACATTCGGAAATATCCATCAGCCCTGCGCCTGGAGCAAGCCCACAGACATGTCAACCTGTCTGTGTCGGTCCTGGACTACAGCGTGGCCAGCTCCTGCTGAAGACAGACGAAGGCCCTCGCAACAAGCAAACATAAATATTTTCTTTCCCGGACTGATTCAGATGGAATCGTCGCTGTTAATAAAGTGGCTGTTGACTATCTAGGAGTGTCTGAATGTGGCCTTTTCTGGCAGGGAGCATGTCATCTGTCTCTGTCTGTACCCTGTCAGGTGACAAGGCATCTCTGGCCTCTTCCCCTTTGGAATGTGCCTCAGTTGGCAGAAAGTAGGCAAGGGAACATTTGAAAAAATACCAGCTTCGCCTCTGTGGAGGGCAGGGAGGAGTGGTCTGAGGTTGTTGTCTTTGGCAAACTGGCCCCTTGGGGGTATGGCCAACAGTGCCAACAAGGCTACTTATTTAAGCTCCACATCAAGCAGGGACATTTTGTGTCTGAGGACAGGAGGGAAAGAGCTGAAACAGGCTCATCTCCCTATTTGGAAGGTGCTCAAATCAGAAAACAATGGGACCCACTGTGAAGCAAGCCACGCTTCACGACACGTGCCCTGGAAATGGAGCCTCAGGACCAGGGAAGGGGTTGAAATAACATTTCAGGTTGGGGTCCTCCCTGCCGCCACCTGCAAATAGGTGTTAGGATGGAAAACAGGGCACCTCTCCTGGCCACGCGTCACCAACCAGGGTTGTTTGAAATGAAAACAAAAAATCCTTCCTTAGAAGAACATGTGTTTCCAAGACAGTGTAAAATTCTCTTCTTGAGTCCCAAGCCCAGAAGAGGCCTTGTGAAGGCCTTATTCACAGCTGCAGCTTTGGAGGCTGCTCTGGGGACCAGCAAGCTGCTGCTATGGGGTCAAATGCCACCAGTCTCCAGGCTTCAGAGATGGTTCATCCAGAAGCCAGGCGAGTGCTAAGTATCTACATGACCAAGGCTACAGAGAGGTTCCCTGGGTCGGCTTTCAAATCCTGCAGCATCAGGTAGCCTTGGAGAAGGTTATCAAACTCCTGTGATTCTGTTTCCCCAGAAGACTGGGGACAATAATTCAGATACCTGGGGACAGTTATGAGAAAGTCTGAAATCAAGGGGCCACAACACAGGACTCCTGGTAGCCTGGCAAAGACTTGCATTGTATTGCAGGATCTCTTGGAAGTTTCCCACTACCCGCGGATGGGCAGAGCTCTTCAATTATCTGGTCAGTACCCTCTGGGGTTTGGTTTCAACCCTGCCTCTTGTCCAGTGTTCTAATATTCTCTTGCTGAAATCAGGGCACCTACAAGCATGCCCACTCAGAGTCCTTGAATTTATGCCACACTGTAGACGTACCCAAATGCTTGTCCATGCTATACCATGCACTCATCCCCACTGCACCTCCTAACCGGATGCCCTTCTTTAGGGAAAATGCAACTACACTTACAGAACATATACCATATGTTGGAGGCTTCACATTATAGTGATCTCGAGTTGGAACTCAGAAAGTGTCAAAGTTTGAAGCATTTTAGATGTTCACATTAGAGTTGTTCATTAGAGCTATAAATAATCTAAAAGCCAAAAACCTCCAAAGTCTAAAGATCGTGCAATTCTAGGCATGCATCATACAGGAGGAAACACAAGACCAAGAGGAAGGAAAGGGGACAGTAAAGTGGGCAATGGGAGGGAAATGATATGGTTATAGTTACCATAGAACAAAGATCACCATAGACCAAATAGAAGACCGGGATCAGGCAAGATGATGAAGGCAGGAGTGTTGAGCAAGAAGATGGAGGTCAGGGAGAGAGATGGGGGTTCAGAACAGAGGCTGAAGTCTAAGGAGGGGCTACTGGGGTGTCCACACAGAAAAAGAAAGGGATCATTTCTCTTACATGGGAAAGACAGACTGGGTTTGACACACGTGCCTCACTTGGGTCCTAACACATGTTTAGTGGTACCTGCTGGATGGCAGACGCTGTTCCAGACGTTGGGACACAGTTGTGAACATAGCAACAAAAGCCCCATCTTCCTGGAATTTGTGTGCAAGTAGGAAAAAATATAATAAACAAGAAAAATGTATAATATATTAGGTAAAGGCTATATAAAAATTCAAAAGCCAAGCCTGTTAGCGCAAACCAATTATTTGTGAAACTGAGGTAGGAGGATCCAAAGTTCAATGCCTGCCTTGGCTACAGGGTGAGGTCAAAGCCAGTCTGGGCAACTTAATGAGGATGCATCTAGAAATAAAAAGCAAGAAGAAGGTTGAGGCTTTATCTCAACAGCAGAGGGCTTGCCTGATGTGTGCGAGGCCCTAGGTTTAATTGCTAGCGCTGTTCCACTGAAATAAAAAGAATTCCAAGATGGTGGAGCAGATATAAAAGGTGAGTGTTAAAATTATGGATAGGATTGTAACGTAAGGCCTCATCAATTGAGTAACTTTTTATGTAAGAAAGTGAGCTCACAGGTATCTGGTAGATCAACCCAGGCAAAGAACTGGCCCCCAAAGACCCTTCTTGAGCCACCACTTGCTGTGGAGAGTGCGCTGCTGGGTGGAGCATCTAAAGCTATTAGCGACCCCTCACACACAGAGCAAATCCCATGCCTGCAAACCATCACAGACACTAATTCCTAAAGCTAAATTCTAGGCTATAGCAGAGGTGCTAACCCCTAAATTCTACAGTCCCTAACCCCTGATACAGGAGAAGGGCTGACTTTGGACAACCCTGCCTTCTAGACTTCTATCAATAAATAACACATCACATCAGATATGGATTTTTCCTTCATAATTAACCATTATTCATTTCTTCCTTTATTTCCCCCAACACCCTCTTATGTATTAATTCATTTATTCGTTGCCTTCCTTGTTTTGTTTGCTTATTCCTTTCTGCCCTCATTACTCATTCATGAACTGATTCCCTAATTTTCCTACCTTGTGACTTTTATTTTATAAGTAAATGGGAGTGCTCGGTTTTCCATACAAGGCTTACATCTTAGTTCAGAGATGAAAGCATGGGACAGACATATATATTACAGTGGTCACATCAGCATCCATTCATCCTAAGGCTAGCCTGTATGTAGATCATGCTCCTAACATAGATTCTCTCAACTGCTTATTCATGCAAACTCAGTCATTTTTATGGCATTTGCCAAATCTCTACCAGTCCAAAAACATGGGCCTGACATGTCTCAGGAGACAAGGGGATAGATGGGGAAGGAGATAATTAAGATAAGATATGCCAGTCCTTGTCATCTGTCTGTCCATCCATCTATCCTTCCTCTCATCCAGTCACTCTCATAGGCCTCCATTGGCGTTGCTCAATACCAATTCCTGAACTGGGTTGCTTTACCCAAAATGACTTGGAGAAGGCTATGTTCAACTGTAGCTGGACATCAGAGGCTGAACACAGTTTCAGGCCTTGTGAAGAGGAAAATGCAGTCCAGACAGCTGATGGCATAGATGGATTGGGATATGGGGTCCACAAACACCACATCGCAGCTGAGAAAGAAAATCGCCCAGCACAGTAGCTAATGGCACTGCTTTGAGAACGCTCAAGGCAAATTTCAGTGAGATTGACTACCAAGCCAAAGAATTTTCTGTGCCCCAAGGAAGACCTGGTATGGCCTCTCATTTCCCATTGTAAGGAGGCTATGGAGTAACCAGGCACCAAAGTGTCAGGCTGCTTGTTCCTGAAGCAGTATAATTTCCTGTCCCTGTCTCCTCCACCCAGAAGAAAATGCTCCAAAAGGTGGGTAAGATTCCCCACTGGCCCTACACCCCTCACGGTTGTGACAAAGCTCCGTGTCAGCTTTTATGCCAAATGATTCAAAACTATGTAGAAGAAATTTTCCTCCCCCAAGTAAAGGCTCTGGTAGAATTGGAAGGGAATTGTTTAAAGATAGGAACCCAGCAGAGCATGCAGAATCGGGGACCCTGGAGGACTGGAGAGAGGCAGAAGCCAAGTATCGGTCCCCGGGTGCCTGGACGCACCTGCCATGTCATGAAGCTGGCTAATCTCGAAAGCCGCCGTTCTATTCACAAGCTGAAGAGAGCAAGACAGGGGTTTGAGGATGACTCTGAGTATCCAAGCTGAGATCCTGAGCCTTCTCTTAGCTCTTATGAGGTGGTAGAACTTGCACCTAAGTCTCAGGTCTCCAGAGGACAGCGGAGCCTTCTGGCTAGGCAGAAAGCACAACAAACATCAAACAAGAACAAAAATAATAGGTGCCAGTCAACACTTGCTTGCTCATATGTAAACACATCTGACTAATAACATACTTTCACGATCAGAGTCTCATTTATTCTTCAAAAACCCGAGGAAACAGACTAACATGTGTGAGGGATAGAGTGTAAACCCCACTTACATTCAAGCCTGTAGAAGTCCTTAGGGGTCCATTGCATCAGACTCCCAAGTGAAAGGGTGCAGCTTTTTTTCCCCCTCCGGGAAGATGGTGTTTTGTATACAAATAGCAGTGAGTGATCTCATAGGTGGAATGTGCTACCAGAAGCTCTAGTCTCTTCCATATCCACTTGGACCTGTAGAGAGGGTAAGGCTGGACTAAGCCAAGGCTGAACCTCCTGACTGTAGACCAGGACATTTCCACTTTATCAACCCTAACGCTGACCTTGAGCAAGGCACTCCCCATGATTGCAGCCTCCCCATGGGTGGTGGGAACATATAGGGCAGGTGGCTTTGAAGGCCTCTTTTGCAGGAACAGATTTGAGGACAGAGTATGAAGGTAAGTGATCAGGAAGTCACAGGACTCCAGGGGTGGAGTAGTCTACCTAGGGACAGGGGCAGAGGGCACTGAAGCAGCCCTTTACCGACTTCACAGGCAAGGCCCACTGCCCTCCACATCCTCCTCCAGCTGGAGGGTCTCCTCCACTTCCAGGTCTTGTTGACTTTTGAATTTACAAGGTGTGTGGGTCGCTAAGATCTGGGATGATTGCACCCTAGGGCCAGACCCGCCTTGGGAAAGCATCCTTTTACCCAGCCCCACAGAAGGAGGTGGAAACACAGTCTGGGGTCTCCTAATGCTGCTTAAAAGTGACAGAGGAGAATATCAAAAAGAAGACAGGCGAGAGAAAAGAAAGACCGGCTCCATTCTGGGAAGGACAGGGAGAAGCCATGAACGGTGCCACGATTCCATCCTGAAGCCCTGAGTTCCTGACTATGGACTGGTTCTGCTGGGGGGTGAAAGCTCAGGCGGGTGAGGAGCTTTATGGTGTTTACTTGGTTTATTGGCTCTGGGGAAGAGGATGTGAGGCCCCATGTAGTTTTCTGAAGATAGGACCCTGCAAGAAAAGGCAAGATTTATTACTTCCGGAAAAAATCCTCAAGGTTACCAGGCTGGGCATGGTCAACTCTCCTTAGCTGTGTGGGCTTAAGGGAGGGGACCTAGAGGAAAGGAAATCTCAGAGTCCATTCCCCTAAGCTCTCTTTCAATTTTTTTCCAGGGACAGCTCCACCGGGTGAATAGTGCTCTGATTCCTCTACCACGTTGACAAAGCCGGACTGAGGTCAGAAGAGCCCCTGCTCTAAAGGATCCACATCAAACCCAATTCTGGCTCCCACACTGGGGCCCTTTCTCTCTGGGCAGCTCTCACTAGAGTGCCCTGTGAGGCCTGGTGGGGAAATACCTGAGTCACCCTGGCTAGGGTGGTAGGCTGTAGTCACCCGTGTGCCACCCCAGGCGGGCCTGGAACAATAACTACCCGTCCTGCCCAGCGAGGTGACCAGGCAACCTCTAGCACATGACCACAACAAGGGTGCTTGACCTCTCGGAAAAATGCCCACCCCACCACGCCTGCGGACACCGGCCCTGGCCAAGTGCTTCTAGAAACAAATGTTTCGCTGACAACCCTACTTCACAGGCACAAGAGGCTGGTTCCTGACACGGCCTCCCAGTCTTCAGTGGCCCCTGTTAGCAGGATAGATTGTGTTTCTGGGCTTAATTAAGGGACAGACCATAAATATTCATGTAGCCAAATGAGCCTGGCTCACAAGTGCAGCTGCTTCCCGCTTGGGGAAAATTAACATTGTTTTCCAGCAGAGAGTAATGAGGCTGCGCACTACTGAGGAAGCTTTTCAACAGCCTCTTTAGGACAGAAAGGGAAGACCACACTCAGAGGCCCTGCACCCTGGGGAATTGTCCTGGCCTAGGCAGAGCCCTCTGCTTCCCCAGTCTGGCTCAGCGAGGCTCCTGAAGGGGGGCATTCACCAGGGTGCTTGGCAGAGCAGGACTCTCCTAGCTGTCAAGAGAACTCGGTTTGGCAAAACGTTGCTGAAGGTCTAAATCCACCTGCCACCTCTCGCGATGGGAAGCTTTCCTGGGACCTAGTCAGGCTTGTTTGTTTCAGTATTGGCTAAAGAGTTGAGTCACTGTGTGCTGGACCTTTTTAACCTGCAAATCCTGAAATGTTAGCCACTAGGCCTTGTGTAGAGAATCTGCTGTCTACTAGAACCATCTAAAACCGCCTCAAGCCGGACACTTGTTATTCTTACTAAAAGTCTCACATTTGGGCTGGCAAGGTGATCTCGTAGGTAAAGTCCCTTTACCACACAGGCCCACTGACTTGGGTTCCATCCTCAGAGCCCGGGGTTAAGAAGAGAACCAGCTTTCCAAAGGTGACACCTCTGACTTCCACATGCAAGCCACGGCATGCGCCTGCCCATGCATGCAAGCACACACGCATCAACATCCTAGTCAGAAATAACATCAGGAATATATGGATAGAAGTCCCATCATTTCGATCCCTCTGGGGTCCTAGACATGGAGCGTTGTTTGACCTTGTGGATGTATGATCTTGTGTGCAGATCCTGAAACCCGAGTGCTGCCCCATGCTCCCTTCCTTAGCTGTAACCATCAGCAAGTTACTCCCCTTCCTCCCTGCTAACCAGAAAGTGTATGTTAAGTAAATGGGATCATTTTCCATTATCTCAGAGTCCTCAAGGTGCAGGATCCTAATTGCGATAAAAACCAACTCATCAGATCTTAGAATCTTAGTTTCAACATGAGGACCCTTCTCCTCATTTCTGATACTGGGCTAAATGTTTTCCATATATTTTCTCACTGAAACCCCAAAGTAAGTTGGAGTGGGGGTTACTGGCAATATTTATGAAGTATATATTACAACGACATGCAATTTATATGTGATATGATTATAAACTATGATATTAAAAAAGTGGTACTTTGAACTATTAGGAGCCTCACCTGCAGCTTGGTCACTGGGAATGGACTGCAAAGTCAGAACCCAAGCTTGTCGCTCAAAACCTGCCTCTCAGGTAGCCCCACTTCCCACCAGGTCCTCAGCCTCTGAATTCCTGCTGTGACAGGGGGTCCACCATCTCCTCTCCCACCCCTGGGTATTCACACCAGCATCTGTCCTTGTAGTCACCAGTTCGCTCCTAGTTTGAGCTGGCTCTTCCCATCTCTGTAAAGCCCAGCAGAACACGGACCTTCTCAGGGTCATCGGCCAACTCCTTGGGAGTCAGCAGCAGGCTGAGCCCCGAGCATTTGCAGCAAACTAGATCTGGGCAGAAATCTCCTGTTTCTGTCAAGACACTCTTCCAGGAACCCCTCCCCATGGCCAAAGCTCCCAGGGTTTCTGCCTGAACAACCTGTCCTTGAGCCAGGCCAGTAATAACCCCAGGACTCTCTAAGGTGTCCATTCTTTCTGCTGGCGGTCAGCATGCCTTGGGATCTGCTTTCTCTTCCTGCAGTTCTGCAGCATAATGCAGCTCCGCAAAACCTTGCACTGTAATTGTCCTCATGGCCAATGCCTCTTGTAAGATGATGGACCGGGGACCCATAGAGAGGAGGCATAGACTGTCAATGAGAGGAAGGGATGCCTAAAGAGAAGCCCCGTGTGCCAGGAACCTGAGAGCCCTTCAGCCCCTTTCTCCTCACATGGGTTCGAGCAGGCATCTGGAGCTGCTGCAGACACTCTGACTAGCTGGAGGCCCCCAAAACAAGGAGAAAGCTGTAGAAACAAATCCCATGTGCCAAACAGTGTCACATGCACCCTGGACAGGTATTTTGATCCCTGTGCAGGTTGGATGTCCTGGGGACCAGGCTGGACCAAGGACTGTGTGGGGAAGGCCCCTAGCCTAGCTCCAGCAGCCCTAAGAGGCCAGCTCATATCCTTTCAGAGAGTGGAAAAGGAAACACTGGGCCCTTTTACAGGGTTTCTTGTGTGTGACGAGCAGCCTCTGAGGATGGCCAAGCTGCCACGGATGGAAGAAACCGTTTATTTTTCCTGTGAGCCGCTCTGGAGCCTTTCAAAGGTGTGAAGTTCCAGGGCCTGCAAATGCTGACTCCACTGGCTGCAGAGAGCCAGCCCTCCTTGGGCCTCAGCCCCCCACACTCCCCTCCCAAAGCTCCAGCCTCTTCATGTGCTATGGGAACTCCCCCAGGCCCATCTGGCCTCTCCTGTGCTGAAAGCCCGCAGAGTGACAGGCCAGAAACCTGATTCAGTGTTTATTCAGTAAACACTGAGAGGGCCCTCCTGAGTCTCCTTCCCACCTAAAGCCTCTGCTACTTCAAGGAGGAGTGGGGGGTGGCACTGGCCATCCCCCATGCTCAGCATACCTGGTATACTTGCCCCAGGAGATTAGCCACAAGGAGAAGCATCCAGGCTGGCCCAGAAGCAACTGGTAAAACACAAAGAAAGAACAGCCACTAAAGTGGCCTCAGCCGACAGAAGAACCCCAAGTCCTGTGGATTCTGGTAAGGACTCTGTGTACCTCCTCCCATGACAAGGCTGAGAGATTCTACAAGACCCCTGCCCAAGAGTTGTACATGTTGTAATCCTGCAGGTCTATAGCAGCAGAAGGGATCTCAGGCTGACGCGAAGGGCTCTGTCTGTATTTCTAACTCCAGCCTGGTCTGAGGTCTGCAGCTCAAATATGATGGGCAGCTGCGCCCACGGAATGACTGGTTGTTCCCACCTGCAGCCACCCAGGAAGCGGCACTGGGGCTGTGTTTTCCGTTTCACTTGAGACAGGGTTTCTCTGCATAACCCAGGCTGGCCTCCAAGTTGTGGTAATTCTCTCTCAGCTTGCTAAATGCTGGGATTGCAGCATGAGCGTCTATGTCCAGCTTCACAGTTACTAAGGAAACATCTGAACTGGTCCTGTTTTCTGCTCTTTTCTGCTCCCTTCTCTCCATTCCATGCTGGTAACACACCAGACTGCTGGGTGCTGCCCGTGTGGTGTCTGTCTGAACCAATACTTTGCTACGGCACAGAAAATATGGCCATTTCTCTATGAAGATCGACTGTGTGGCTGAAGTGGAGGGGTTTGGTCTGTGCTGGTGGTGCTCCATCACTGACGGAGAGCGACCCTGTAGTAACCAGCCAGCCTCACCTCCCAAGTTCATCTGGAATTCCAGAAAGATCACCACAAAAGGACACTTCACACTGTCATGGACTCAAGGCCAAGCTTCGGGTCAATGAGCCAGCCCACCACCCAGCACCCAGCTGCCCTTCAGGGCAACCCTCACTGCTTGTACATCTGGTGGCTGGGC